TTGACGACGTCCCGAGCGCTATCTGTTGACAGCGGAGCCAACTAACAGCTATAATTATATCGGCGTTACTCGGAGCTAGAACACCAGCAACTAGCCTTGAATGCTCCACGGCTTCGAGAACAGTTCGAGAGCCGGCGATACATGCACAAAAAGGCAAATACAGAGGCGTTGCAGGGGGAGTGGAGACCGGGTGAAAAGTCGACGCGAACCGCGATCAGTTTTGTTGCAAGTTAGTGATAAGCATGTACATGTTTTCAGGTACCATACGATTCACGACGTTAACTATCGTACCTGCAAGGTACTTCGTGTAAAGCTCAGAGTTGTCTATTTTAGCAGAAATTCACCGTCTGCCAGATACTGCAACGGAGAGTCAAGTCAAGTCATCGTTGGTTGTCAGAGCGGTCCGTGGGACCTTAGCTCTTGAGTCACAGTGTCAGTTTGTAAGTCTGTCAGGTCTGGTAACCCAGAAACCAGACAATTTTAAGGAAAAAAGGGGAAGGAAAGGAGAGAAGGAAGAACGAGAGCAAAGGGGAAGAAGATAATCTTTTAGGATAGGCAGCGTTTAGGCATTGTTAAAATCACTTCACAGATTTTGATATTGTCTAAAAATATTTGATTTTTTCTAAAGATTGTGTAAAAATGCTCCAAGTTTGGTTGTTCTAAGTTCACGAGTTAATTTTGATTACAGTGCGAGCCGCGGCCTTTTGTGCTTGCGAACTTGCTCGACTGTGTAGTCCACTGACTCACGCAACAGAGGGTTTCTGTGCGATTCCGCTAGGCTATAGCGCCGCTGCGCCTGTTGCTTAATGTAGCCCTTTAGGTAAGGGACATCGAGGTCTCTATGTAGAGTTTCGCTAGAGAAATACCATGGGGCATCAGCAATAGTGCGCAACGTCCTGCTTTGCAGAACCTGCAGATTTTGCATGTGCGTTTTAGGAATAAAACACCAAGCCGCACATGCGTAAGTCATTGCTGGTCTTATGACCACCTTATAGAGTCGAATCTTGTTACTCAAACTTAATTTTGACCGTTTACATAATAATGGGTAAAGCTGCCGAAACGTAATTTGGAATTTAGTTTTTAGCGCTTCCATATGGTTCCGCCAAGTCATCCCTTTGTCCAGAATGACACCGAGATACTTAGCGGAGGATTCCCATGGTATACGAAGTCCATTCATTGAAACTTCAGACGGAACGCCGCGATGTCTTTTTGTACAGTAGATTGCCTACGTTTTCGAATGGTTTATTTTAATTAACCACCGATCCGCCCAATCTAATACTTCCTCCACCGCACTTTGCAGCCTGTCATGGACTAGATCACCAGACCACGACTGAGCCACCAATGCAGTATCGTCAGCATAGAGATAGACTTCACAGTTGCTGGGACTAGGGACGTCATGGATGTACAGTGAGTAAAGGATAGGTCCAAGGACCGAACCCTGAGGGACGCCGGCTGTAATCAGCCGTGTTGTCGACAGGACATTGTCAATTTTGATCCGAAATTTCCTACCTTCAAGGAAGGATTTCAGTAGTTTTAGAAGCCAAAAAGGGAAGCCCTTTTGGATTAGTTTATACAAGAGGCCCGCGTGCCACACCTTGTCAAATGCTTTTGAGACATCCAAAAGCAAGATGCCAGTGCTTTCATTTGCAACGAAGAGTTCTAGTAAGTACAACATAAGCCGTAGCGTAGAGCAGTTACTTGAAAGGCTCGTAAGTCTCTACAGTTACCAGTTAGAGCTCAAAGATAAGAGTTGAGGAGAAAACCGAAAGCCCTTGTGATAGTTCCGTTACAAGAGCTGAGTTCGCAGTTTTACCATACAAAATATTTAAATTCCGTGGAGTCTCCACGAATAAGGTTTCATTTCCATATTGCACTCGTATGACAGAAATGTGATGGCGGATATACACAGACATCGTCAGAGTCCGAAATAAACGTGTTTCGCGTACCAAATTCTGCTAGTCGCCACTAGCCCGAGACCCCGCTGGAACTTTCACATTCAAACATCGAAATGTTCTAAAATAGTAAAAATACTTTCCTACTTGATCATCGAGTAGGCAATACCACAACTTAATAGTATATAGTAAATCATATTGTGACAAATATTGACATTTTATAATTTTTGGTAAGGTAAATGTTAGTGAAGTAGGAAATAAACCTAAAATCATTACTATTCGCTCATATAAAAACTTTAATGAAGACAGTTTTTGCAGGATCTATTTGCAACCCCATTTTTCATGCTATTTGACCAAGATAGCGCCGACTCTAAAGTTGCGTTTCTTACAAACCTGCTTACAAACCTTTTTGATAGGCATTTTCCTTTGGTATCAATGAGAGTTACTAAACCTAGAGCCCCATGGCTTACAGATGTGGTGAAGCGAATGCAGAATCTCAGGGATAGGGCGCTGCTTAGATTTAGAAGAACAGGACTGAATGCCCATTTGCGATATTATCAGGACTTGCGTAATTTAGTTAATGCTGCTATCATCAGAGAAAAAAAATCTTATTATACATACATATTAGAAAGTTGTAGTTCAACAGAAATGTGGAAAAGGTTAAGGAACAATGGAATAGTCTCTCAAAAGGATAACACCATTCCAAGTTCCTTTAATGATGTCAATGAACTTAATAATTTTTGTGTTAACAGTATACCTAATATACAGCCTTCTCCTAACTTAATAAATTTCTACAGAAATACTAGGAGGAATTCTTCAAATTTTGAATTCAAAGAAGTTAATGATTTATTTGTTTATGAAGCAATTTGCCGTATTAAAACTAATGCTCGTGGTTGCGATGGTTTTAATTTAAATTTTATTAAACTATGTTGCCCTTATTCCTTATTTAACTCATATAATTAATGTTTGTTTTACGCATAATCAGTTCCCTGATCTGTGGAAGCAAGCAAATGTCTGTGTTCTGCCAAAAAAACCTAATCCTTCAGATCTTAAAGATCTCAGAGGGATTAGTGTTTTACCATTTTTCTCTAAATTACTTGAGCGTGCAATGGAGGAGCAACTTTCTTATCATTTGTCACAATTTTCATTACTGCCAATTGTACAGTCTGGATTTAGGAAAAATCATAGCTGTACGGCGTCTTTGCTTCATGTAACAGACGACATAATTAGAGCTACATATCGTGGCGAGTGTACTGTTCTCGTTCTGCTGGATTTCAGCAGAGCGTTTGACACTTTAAACCATCAATTAATGCTTGCTATTTTACATCATATTGGTCTTTCTCAAAACGCTATAGATTTATTTCAGTGCTACTTCACTAAGCGGAAACAAACAGTTGTTTTAAATGGAGTTCAGTCTTTATCTTTAAATTTGAAATCCGGCGTACCCCAAGGGTCCATACTTGGACCACTCCTATTTCTAATTTATACATCTAATTTCATGCACTTCCTTAGTCTACGTAATGTGCATTTTTACGCTGATGACACCCAAATCTATTGCAGCTTCCCCCCACAATTGATGGATCGTTTCTCGTTGATCATTAATAATGAGCGAAACTCAGAATGAATGTGCCACACGCCACTGTCTTTTAATAAATCCATCAAAGTCTCACGTAATTGTTTTTGGACCTAGGCAAAATAAAAATGTTATAGAGAATCTTATTAAAATTGAGATAAATGGTGTAACTCTCAAAATAATGGACAATGTAAAAAATTTAGGTGTTGTGATTGATAGTAATCTTCGATTTGAGTATCACATCAACAAAATTATGCAGAGAGCATATTTGTCGTTGAAATTTATTTACGGTAGCCGGAAATTTCTCTCGTTAAAACTTAAGATCATGCTATGTGATACTTTAGTATTATCTTTATTCAACTACGCTGATGTGCTTTACGGCCCACACTTAACTAACCTGTACCGATGTAAAGTTCAACTGGTTCAAAACTCATGCTTGCGCCTTGCATTTGGTATACGGAGGAGACATAGAATATCTCATAAATTGAAAGATGCAGGTTGGTTAAATATGGAAAATCGTAGGCTCCTCCACTCTGCTGTTTTTTATCATAAATTAATTTTAGTCAGAAGACCCCAATATCTTTTTCAAAAAATAACCTACCGGACTGACGTTCATAACATTAACGTAAGAAGTAAGGGTCTTATTTCGCCACCCAAGTTTAGAACGTCAATCTTCAAACGGAGCTTCACATACCAAATATACGTATATAAAGTCTACAACTCAGTCCGGAAGGAACTAAAATTTTCTAGAATAGATAACTTCAAAGCCATGTTTAAAAAGGAACTGCTGCAAAAACAGTAGCACCGCATGAATGAATGAATGATTGTTTTTTTTTTTGTTAGCGTGTAGGTATGTCCCTCTTTTATAGTGACATGTATGTATTATCGGTTTATCGGATGTCATATGTCGTAGAGGATACTGGGCTAAGTGGAAGAGCAGGTTGTTGGTACTGTGTACTAATCAAACTGAACTTCGCCTTTTATTGACACTGGATGTACTTATGTTCACTTACAATTTTGTCAATGTCTTATGTAATAATAAAGACGGTTATTATTATTATTATTAAATAAAAAAACTCATCTCGCTCAAACTTGATGACAGTTGTGAAAGGTCTGGCCTTCACAACGAAAAGTTGCACTTGTTTGATATTTGAATTAGTCATTTTAAAAGAAACTCAAGGCTTACATTCTGTTTACCAGCTTTATAGTGAACGTGATATGAAGCGATATGCTTTCCGGTCAAGACGTGTCCATGAACGGAACTATGTGTCGTCCACCAAACAAATAGACTTATTCAGCTTGTGTTCAGTGTATGCAGCTTTTGCTAGTGCGCCGTAGCTGGTAGCGTAGTACACACTTAGCGATCTCCTGACTGATGAGTTGCCTATGATGGCGGCGGCACTTTGGTCGATTTCAGTGATTTTTTGGATAAATATGACCAAAGTAATTATACAGTCCTTGATTTTGACCCTGAGATTCTAAGTGACTCTGACATGGAAATAATGGACAGCTCTGTTGAACGTAATCCTTCAAATGGTTATGTGGCTATGTACATTTTGGACAGACTCAAAATTGATAGTAATTGTGAATCCTGTGCAAGGTTATTTTCTTTGGTTGTCACTGAAAAACATCTGTTTGTGACGTTTAAAGAGCATGATGAGAAAAACCGATTGAAATACGCAAGTGAAGATTTAATTAACCTGGTTGGTCTTCTGGATGAAAGGCTGTGTGCATTTTTAGAGCAACATGGTACAGAAGACCAACTGGAAGATAAATTTAAACGGAAGTATTCCTGCATCTTTCAAAATTACAGCTTTTGTCAGCAACAAATGTGTAAAGAGAAATTCTTTGAAAAGGAGTGGTCAGACTACTAATAGTCATATATCAACAAATACGAAATTCAAGACAGCTAAAGTCAGGTAATGCTTTTTTATTTAGTCCAGCACTCTTCAATCATTAAATTCTCTATTTACTTTTATTAACCAAATACTACTATGATATTATACCTAAACAATATTTTTTTTGTTTCATAGTTGCAGCATCCTTGGGAGGGAGCAGTTGGACGAAGAATAATTATTTACTTTGTTACTCCTGTAATGTTAAAGCCATCAGGAGCTTTTAGTTTTAAGTATGAGGAATGTCTTGTTTATTTTTAACTATGATTTCTTCTTTGAAGAAACTTCCTTTGATTACTGAGGGTCCGTTTTTATAGTTTTTTATGCTACTAGTGTATGATTTATATTTTTTTTTGAAACATCACTTATCCACTTGGTAATATAGAGAAAGCTCCGGATATCTAAAAATGCCTTTATATATTGTCAATGTGATGTGATGATAAATTATTACTTATTATTATTCATATATTTAACTATTTAATAAATATTTTATTAATTACGCATTTATTTTTTATTATCCCAAGATTGGTTACCAGCAAAACTGCTGAATCGGGTATTTCCTTTATTGAGGGGATATTTTATGCTTCTATGCCCATAAAATATTTCTTCAATATGGGAAATATCACTTTCAGCAGATTTTAAATTGTAAACAAACTAAATCCTCGGCAATTTCCAGTATTCATAATCTCCCGGCGCATTCTTTGAATTCCTTCGATAGTCCTTCCAGATCTCCAGGCAAGTAGGCGGCGCAACCATCTGAAAAAACGTCAACGATGTTGCCGTTGTTTAACGTGTAGCTCCCACTTCCTCAGTCTTATGTGCTTTGTGCATTAAACTAGTGGAATGTCATTTCAGAAATACCTGGAAGCGATCGGGCTTCCAGATATTGACGTAGGGGACAGTGGTACATATTTGGCAACTTACGCATAGATGGTAGTGTCACGTAACGCATTGACGGTTACTAACAAGCATGAGACAACGTTGTATATGGTTGGTTGTTTTAACAGCTGTGGAATGCAAACAGTTTATTCGGACATTGATTTTATATTTTAGTTTAGTATGGAAAATTCTCGGTAACAGAGTGTCTCTTTTGTCGATGATGGTAGAGATTTTCTACTCGGTTTCGTTGTACGGGTGCACTTGCATTTACCAGAAGAACGAATTCATTTTCGCGCAGAGAAGCATTAAAATAGCAGCGAGTCTACAAAGACGTCCCACGTAGGAGATGCGATGAATTTTTAACGATGAATGTTTTAATGCCATTTGATCCCTCCATTAGGCGATAGGGAAATTTCTGAAGAGTAAGGCTTATGCCAAAACACCAAGTACTGCGCAGCTGAAGAGCTATATTTGGTGAATTATCCGATGCTTTCCTTCCAACACCTACCGAAAAATAATGGAAAACTTAAGTTTATGCGGATCCCAGAGACAAGCATTTTTGTGATGATACAACTTCCAACTTTTACTATAAGGTTGAGATTAAAAAATGTGCCTACTGTAATTCATTTTAAAGTATACTATACAGGCTGTAAACGTTATTATAGTCATTATTTAAATGTGTGATAGAGGGGGTTTAAGGAAGCAAAAAGTTTCATATAACATGGGGGTCAAAATGGCATTTTTTTAGAAAATAACGACTTTAAAGTAAAATAAAATCTGACAACGCCGCAATGCCAAACGCAAATTACGACGGAACGCAGTGTAAATAAAGATGAAGTTTGTGTTATTTTTGGCTGTTAGCTATTATTTCATTATTTCATAATGTACTCGTAAAATGCAAACAATTAAAAAAACGGACTTACCACTAACTCTCAGCGCTTCACTTGGTGTGTGAAAGTTTATTGAACGTATTGAAAAATCCACTTATAAATAGGGAACACAATTTTGATACGTACGTTGTTTTTCTTTTTAAAACCCACACTGCACTTTTTTTGTATTTAAAGGTGTTCAAAATTTCGTCCACTTTCCACATAAGCTTCATTATGACGAAACCAGTTTCTTTTCACTCTAGGTCCTCGAAGTTGTCCATTTATTATTTCAGCCGCATTAAACATTTTTTCGCGAAGTTGTGCTTCTGTTGTTATTGGACCAGCCCCATAAAACATCCCTTTAAGTTCTCCCCAATGCCAGAAATCCATCGGATTGAGGTCAGGAGATATCGGTGGCCATTTTCCAAGATCTACAGTAACTTATCTTTCACGAGTGCAAATATTAGTCGGCTAAACACTTCCTGTATCTCGAAGTCTTTGGTACACTTGCACAAATGACCTTCTGTCTGGGTGTACCTGTTGGCGAAATTTGTCGCGATAAATTTGAGTTGCAAGATTTGAATTCTGACGAGCTTCCCCGTAAACTAACAGCATGTCGGCGAACTCTTGATTCGAGAACATTGTAAATAAACACGACGACGTACGCGAACAAAAACAAAACAACACGTCCGATGCTCCGCTCGACAAAACGATAAAGTAATTTATCTATGCAAAACGATAGCTAACCACTGTTACCGTTTGCGATCGACTGCCGGTTCGATAAGGGTGTAGAAAGGCCGACGCGCTGTTGTGTTTTAAATATCTAATTTAATGAAACTTACTTACTTTCCACGCAACGTGTCATCAGTTCATAACCGATTATGCTCAGCACAAATTAACTACTCTAAGAAAAAGGTTAGCTACAGCAAAAAAAAATAATTTACGTCGATCAAACAGGCCTATGTGATTTGTGCATAGTCCCCCCAAGAAGTTTTAGAAATGATCGAAGACGACCCAACAATTAGTATTAGAGCCATAGCAGCTAAGGATGAAGTTTCTCATAGTAAAGTGTGGAAGACAGTACGACAAGAACGGTGTTATCCTTATTATTATCAAAGGGTACAAACGTTACAACCTGAAGTTCATCCTAGCGGAGTTGCATTTTGCCAGTGGCTTTTAGAAGAGTTCAGCAGAAATGCAGATTTTATGAAATTAATTTTGTGTACAGCCGGACCACATTTACACGAAATGGAGTGCACAATTTCCACAACAATCATGATTGGGCAGTCAAAAATCCGCATGCTGTAAAAAGAACTCATTTTCAACATCGGTTTTCATTAAATGTTTGGGCCGCGGTGGTAAATGACATGCCTATTGGACCCTACATTTTTCCACATCGACTGACCGGTGGAATTTAATCGTGTAGACGACCTGTTTCCGGTAGAATTCTCCGAAACGTGGTCGATTGTGAAACTCTTTGGTAGATGGATTGCCAAAAATCATGATCATTTAACTAATCGAAATAAAATCGAGAAATCAAGAGTGACTTTAAGCTAATTAAAAAAAAAAGAATTCCTGGTTAAGAACAATCTGTATATATCCTGAAAAAACTAGTGTATATAACATTCCTAACAGTCTTCCGATGTTTATATAAACACTTTGTCTTCCATGCTCGTAACCACAAATCGAAAAAGAATTTGTTAACAAAATCGTGACATTCTTTACCAGCGCTACAGCGATGTGTTTTATTGGAAAAAACATAAGATAATATACTAAGTGACATATAAATCCGAACACCCAGTTTAAATGGTTTTATTTTAATAAAAGTTGGTGAATGTATTTATTTTACTGCAAATAACAAGTGAAAAAATTTTCAGCCTTATCAGTTGGACATTCCGGTTTTTATACTGCTTTTTTTAATTCACTAACGCTCTAAAAATGAATATTTCAGCCGCAGTAAAGAATCAACGTTGGCGGATTTTGGTTCTTGGCATCCTTTACGATCGGTTACGATGCCTAGAGTACAGAGACCTGTACGATTTTGTCAACTTAGTGAGTTTGATAGGGGCCGTATAGTGGGACTTCGGGAAGCTGGACTTCCTTTTCGGGCAATTGCAGTTAGAGTGCAAAGAAGTGTAGACACTGGTTAGGTGTTGTCAGGCATGGCTTCGAGAAGGCCGTACGCAAAGAGCAAGCGGCACTGGACGCCGCCGTAGAACAACAGACCGTGAAGATCGCCGCCTAAGATTATTGGCCTTAAGGGACCGTTTCTCCACTACCAGGTCCATTGCAAATGAATGGTTCGCAGAACTATTGGCATGCGAAGTGTTTACCGACGAATGAGAAGTTTTGGCTTGTTTTCATACCGGCCACACTGGGTCCTCCCTTTAACTCGAGAACACCGACGTAATCGCCTTGAGTGGTGCAGACAACGGTCACTCTGGGATCAGGAATGGAACAGTATTGTCTTTAGTGACGAGTCTCGATTTTATTTAGGCATGCACGATGGTCGTGCCAGGGTTAGAAGGCGACGTGGTGAAAGGAGGAATCCACAGTTTTTTGTTGAAAGACATGTTCATCACACTGTTGGAGTTATGGTTTGGGGTGCAATAGCTTATGGTTCCAGGTCACCTTTAATCTTCATCAGAGGTAACATGAACGCGCAGCGTTATATCCACGAAGTTCTAGAACCCCATCTTTTACCCTAACTTGACACCCTGACAGATCCAACTTTCCAACAAGATAATGCCCGACCACATGTTGCAAGAGTCACAATAGACTTCTTTCAACATAATGATATCACATTGTTACCATGGCCACCAAGATCTCCCGACTTATCCCCAATTGAGCACTTGTGGGATATGATGGGTAGGAGATTTCTCAATTTGCAACGTCCTCCTCAGACTCTAGAAGCACTTCGAGAGGAGTTGGTGGTTGCCTGGAATGAGATACCACAGGAGGACATTGACCACCTGATCAGAAGCATGCATAGGCGCGTTGGAGAATGCGTAGCACATCAGGGTGCATCCACACATTATTAAAGGTCAAAGGGCTTTAAAGCAGTGCAATCATTTTGAAATTTTTATCATTTACTTATTATGCTTCATTAAGTACTTATCCAAAATTTTATTAAAATAAAACCATTTAAACTGGGTGTTCGGATTTATATGTCACTTAGTATAGTATCGGTATCTATTCTATTGCTTCTCGCCGGATGTGAAAATACGCTTTCTAGTACTGGCTGACTCAGATACAAATAAACCGCGTGTCCTTTTGAAAGAATTATAAAATATACCAGTATTAAGCATTTTTGTTGTTTATTGTGTTATTTCACAACAGAACTATATGAAACAAACCATCTTAGTAATAGTGGAAAATATAGTTCAATTTATTTGGTGGCTTTGTCAATAAAATCAGTACTTCGG